TTCTGCTCATTGCCATCCCACCACCAGTCCCCAGGCTCTGAGCCTTCTTCCCTTGGGGGTTCCCCAGCTGGTGCCTCACCCCCCCATCCAGCCAGTCCATGACAGCAAAAGCAGCCATAGCAGTAAAATAAGTATGATAGTAATATACACTCTGGTAGGAATACTCCCTAGCAGCAGGATTGAATAATAACTTCTGGGAATATGGAAAAGTACTATCTTCACCATACCCCATAATAAGCAGGAACTCTGGGGTTCCCCTATGTGGTTCATGATTGAAGATGGGCCCCCCAGGAGACTTCCCTGGTACCTGCAGCCCCACCTTCCCCATCCTACAAATAGGCTTGGGGAAAAATCTCCCATTCAATTTCAGTATTTCAAGTTTTTTTCAGAATGCGCAGGGGGCAGGGATGAAGTTCTGTTGAATAAGTAGTGTTTTGAAATCATGCAGTGGTGGGGTGACAGAGTTTGGTACATGCCATCTTGCATGCTTGAGTAGACCAACTCCAGGGCATGAGGCACGTAGCAGCAGGGTAGGGGCCACGTGTAGAGCAAGTCCCACACTGAGGTCAAAAACACACACAGAGGCAGCAGGACTTACTTCTTCAGTAATAGTTTACTGAGCTTTCAAAGCATACAGTTCTCACTGGGTCCCCAGGGAGGCACAAAACTTAGCACCTGAGAGCAAATCCAATTCCAGCAGTAAAATCATACAGCACACAGGATGTCTAAGTCAGGCACACACACCGGCAATAGGGAGCAAGCGAGGAAAGAGGCTGGAAGGACACAGGGCAATGAATGTGTTCATTGCAATGTTCATTTATTATTTGTACTTACAAAACCCCTCCCCCAAAAGCCCAGCCCCTCTCTTTTCAGCTACCTCCCCATCCCACCTCCCCCACAAATGCCTTTTACAAATAGTTAAAAATTAAAAACCAGATGACATTAATTTTGGTACAGTTATTCAGCAATATAGCTGTCATAATTAATGGGTTACGTTTCATTACAACCAGGGTGATTTGGGTAAAGGGGGCGGGGAATTCTGGTTATTGGCCAAATAAAATTTCATATTACAAGTTAGCAAATTCTAGTACAAAAATAGTCCATGTGATAGAACAGCCTGTAATATTTTTTTTTTTAATTTTTATTGTTATTCACAGTTAAGAGAGTCTGTTGGCTGCATAATTCCTTAAGTATTTTATGAATTTTTCTTTTTCTTTATGGGGCTTCTTCTTATATAACCCAAATATAGGACAGAGCCTCAATAAATCCTTTAGCACAAGAACCCTAGAATGAGGGTTTAATAAGACTATTCAGTTTATCTTCTGTGTAATCGTTGCTTTTCACTGGGATATCCAAAACCGCAACTGGTTCCCCAGGTAGGTTCTCTTTGATATTTGTCCCTCATGAGATCTTAGAATCAAAAGGACCCATTGAAGGACATTTCTCCCAAGAACTTTTCCATGGCGGCCAGCAGGCCACGGTAGCGATGCTCAAATTCCACGATGGGCGAGGGGGGTGCAGAAAAGCATGCTCTGTTCATCCCCAATTTCCCCCCCACATTTCCTCTTGTCACCTTCCTTTCAAATAGACTCATCAGTATTTTGGCTCATGTAAAACACCCCGGGGCCTGGTTTCTTCTTCGTCATCTCTCCCAGGAGTATTCCGTTCTGACTATGGCCCCTTCCGTTTCCACCTGTTATTAATGCTTTTCGGCAATTGGTTTCTTTTTTTCTTAGGCCAGAGAAAGATCTGCAGAGGCGCTACTTGTCCTCAAGATATCTAGCTGCTCTTGGTATTCGGTGAAAAGCCGTTGCAAATGAAGGTTCTGACCGATGACGGGAAGCAGTTCCTTGAGGAGCTCTCGCTTGCGTAAGCCCACAACAGTTGCTTCCCACTGACTTCCAGCTGAGCTGTGGACTGGACCCAATAAATCCTTGCATAATTCCCACAATCGATATTCAAACCCTTCATTAACTAGATTTTGGGGCCACGGTATTCGTGACTTGACTGTAAAGTCAGCGCTGCAGCTACCTGACTCTCCAGATACACCAGAGTCGTTTCCTGCTGCACCAAATGAGGCATGGAGAACAATCTTGCCGCTTGCCTCCCGGAGTTAGACGTTCTCCCTTGACAATGGATGTGTGTGTTTTCACTTCCTGTTGCCTGGGAGGGAAGTCAGCAACTCAGCATCTGCAGGGACTTCACGGAGAAAAGCTTTCTGCCGCTGCTTGCAGGCACATCCCAGAAACACACACTGTGATTCACGGTGTATGCCATATCAGTTGTTCTTCAAATGTTATCAACGATGTGGTCTAGAAACCGGTATTGGACAAGATATTAATATATCGCCCAGCCCTAATCCTCACTCACCACCAGCAAACCAGATTCATCCTATCTCTCAAAGGTACTTTACCTCTTAGATTATACTCACATTGTTTGACATGCCTTCAAAATTTCGTTGCTGTTCAGTTTACATATATACACAAGCACTTCAAAATACAACGTCATGTGTTTAAGACTGATTTCCTGATGAGTTCATTGCTGTGAAGAAAGAGTGGACACTGAAAGGAAAATGTCCCATTCTCCATACATCTAAATGGGTTCTCCAATGTGAAAGTCCCTGGATGTTCCTTAAACACTCCATTGTAAATAAAGAACTTTTTTGCAATCTTTTCATTTCTACTGCTTCTCCTCTTAAGAGTTTGTTGATGGTTTGTAGGGTTTCAATTCCTAAAGTTCTTCCTGTTCATGAGTCTGTTGATTTAGAACTTCCACTAGGACTGAACCTGTATCTACTTTCCTGATATTTATACGGTTTGCCTTTTGTGTGAGTTCGTTGACAGAAATCAAGGCTTCCGCTCTGAGTGCAGCTCCTTCCACAGTCCATACATTTAAACAGTTTGTCCCGGGTGTCTGCTGATGTTTTTTACATTTATATGGTTTCTCCCTGTGTGAATCCACTGGTGTAATTTAAGATCTCGATTCTGACTGAAGCACTTTCCGCACTCCAGGCATTCAAATGGTTTCTCCCCTGTGTGAGTCCGTTGATGCATATTGAGGTTTCCACTCTTACTGAAGCTCTTTCCACACTCCATACATTTATATAGTTTCTCCCCTGTGTGAATCCGCTTGTGTAATTTAAGGTCTCCATTCCGACTGAAGCACTTTCCGCACTCCAGGCATTCAAATGGCTTTTCCCCTGTGTGAGTCCATTGATGTATATTGAGGTTTCCATTCTGACTGAAGCTCTTTCCGCACTCCATGCATTTAAATGGTTTATCCCCACTGTGAGTCCGTTCAGGTATATTAAGGTGTTCCTTATGACTGAAGCTCTTTCCACACTCCATGCATTTAAATGGTTTCTCCCCTGTGTGAGTCTGTTGATGTATTCTAAGATTTCCATTTAAGCTGAAGCTCTTTCCACACTCCATACATTTATATGGTTTCTCCCCTGTATGAGTCCGTTGATGTGTTCTTTCCACACTCCATGCATTTAAATGGTTTCTCTCCTGTGTGAGTCCACTGATGTGCTCTAAGGTTTCCATTATCACTAAAGCTGTTTCCACACTCCATACATTTATATGGTTTCTCCCGTGTGAGTCCGTTGATGTATATTGAGGTGTCCACTCTGACTAAAACTCTTTCCACACTCCATGCATTTAAATGGTTTCTCTCCTGTGTGAGCCCGTTGATGTATTCTAAGGTTTCCATTTAAACTGAAGCTCTTTCCACACTCCATACATTTATATGGTTTCTCCCCTGTGTGAATCCGCTGGTGTAATTTAAGATCTCCATTCTGACTGAAGCACTTTCCGCACTCCAGGCATTCAAATGGTTTCTCCCCTGTGTGAGTCCGTTGATGCATATTGAGGTTTCCACTCTTACTGAAGCTCTTTCCACACTCCATACATTTATATGGTTTCTCCCCTGTGTGAATCCGTTGATGTGTTCTAAGGTTTCCATTGAAACTGAAGCTCTTTCCGCACTCCAGGCATTCAAATGGCTTTTCCCCTGTGTGAGTCCGCTGATGTGTTCTAAGTTTTCCATTATCACTAAAGCTGTTTCCACACTCCATACATTTATATGGTTTCTCCCCTGTGTGAGTCCGTTGATGTATATTGAGGTGTCCACTCTGACTGAAACTCTTTCCACACTCCAAGCATTTAAATGGTTTCTCTCCTGTGTGAGTCCGCTGATGTGTTCTAAGGCTTCCATTATCACTAAAGCTGTTTCCACACTCCATACATTTATATGGTTTCTCCCCTGTATGAGTCCGTTGATGTGTTCTAAGGTATCCATTCTGACTGAAGCTCTTTCCACATTCCATGCATTCAAATGGTTTCTCCCCTGTGTGAGTCCGTTGATGTATATTGAGGTGTCCATGCTGACTGAAGCTCTTTCCACACTCCATGCATTTAAAGGGTTTCTCTCCTGTGTGAGTCCGCTGATGTGTTCTAAGGGTTCCATTATCACTAAAGCTCCTTCCACACTCCATACATTTATATGGTTTCTCCCCTGTGTGAATCCGCTGGTGTAATTTAAGATCTCCATTATGACTGAAGCACTTTCCGCACTCCAGGCATTCAAATGGTTTCTCCCCTGTGTGAGTCCGTTGATGCATATTGAGGTTTCCACTCTTACTGAAGCTCTTTCCACACTCCATACATTTATATGGTTTCTCCCCTGTGTGAATCCGCTTGTGTAATTTAAGGTCTCCATTCTGACTGAAGCACTTTCCGCACTCCAGGCATTCAAATGGCTTTTCCCCTGTGTGAGTCCGCTGATGTGTTCTAAGGTTTCCATTTAAGCTGAAGCTCTTTCCACACTCCATACATTTATATGGTTTCTCCCCTGTATGAGTCCGCTGGTGTAATTTAAGGTCTCCATTCTGACTGAAGCACTTTCCACACTCCATACATTTAAATGGTTTTTCCCCTGTGTGAGTCTGTTGATGTATATTGAGTTGTCCTCTCTGACTGAAGCTTTTTCCATATTCCATACATTTAAATGGCTTCTCCCCTGTGTGAGTCCACTGATGTAAACTTAAGTGTCCATTCTGACTGAAGCTCTTTCCACAATCCATGCATTGGAATCCTTTCTTGCCCATGTGAGTCCGCTGATGTGTTCTACGTTTTTCACTATCGGTGAAACTTTTCTCACTCTCCATACTTTTCTCTCCTTCTTGAGATCGCTGATGTGAGCTATGTGTGCTCATTTAGTGAAGCATATTCCACATTTCACACATTTTAATGTCTATACCTAATGAAATAAAGTATTCCATCCCTCAGAATTCTGAATGTCTTCTCCATCACCTTCTTCAATGTGGGAGGAAAGAAAATCCTGTTTGGGTTTCAAGGAAGAGAAGAAAGGGGAAGGGAACACAGCAAGCGCCATTAGCACCTTCTCCTATTTCAACATCTCCTACATTCCCCTGCCTCCTACCCATGTTCCCAGTTTTGATTTGGATCCCTTCCAATCGCGGTTCAGGCCTCATCATGGGACTGAAACTGCCTTGGTCGCACTGGTTGATGATCTCCGGCGATCTAGGGACAAAGGTGAGAGTTGTTTCCTAGTTCTGCTGGATCTCTCGGCGGCCTTTGATACAATCGACCATATCATCCTTCTGGACCGTCAAGAGGGGTTGGGAGCTGGCGGCACTGTTATACAGTGGTTTCGCTCCTTCCTCCTGGGACGTGTTCAGAAAGTGGTGGGGGGGATGAGTGTTCAGACCCTTGGGCCCTCACTTGTGGGGTGCCTCAGGGTTCCGTCCTCTCCCCCATGCTTTTTAACATCTATATGAAGCCGCTGGGAGAGATCATCAGGGGGTTTGGGCTGGGTGTTCATCAGTATGCGGATGATACCCAGCTCTACCTCTCTTTCAAATCAGAACCAGTGAAGGCAGTGAAGGTCCTGTGTGAGTGCCTGGAGGCGGTTGGAGGATGGATGGCGGCTAATGGATTGAAGTTGAATCCTGACAAGACAGATGTACTGTTCTTGGGGGGCAGGGGGCGGGCTGGTGTGGAGGACTCCCTGGTCCTGAATGGGGTAGCTGTGCCCCTGAAGGACCAGGTGCGTAGCCTGGGAGTCATTTTGGACTCACAGCTGTCCATGGAGGCCAGGTTAATTCTGTATCCAGGGCAGCTGTCTACCAACTCCACCTGATACGCAGGCTGAGACCCTACCTGCCCGTGGACTGTCTCGCCAGAGTGGTGCATGCTCTAGTTATCTCCCGCTTGGACTACTGCAATGCGCTCTACGTGGGGCTACCTTTGAAGGTGACTCGGAAACTACAGCTAATCCAGAATGCGGCAGCTAGACTGGTGACTGGGGGCAGCCGCTGAGACCACATAACACCGGTCTTGAAAGACCTACATTGGCTCCCAGTACGTTTCCGAGCACAATTCAAAGTGCTGGTGTTGACCTTTAAAGCCCTAAACGGCCTCGGCCCAGTATACCTGGAGGAGCGTCTCCACCCCCATCGTTCTGCCCGGATGCTGAGGTCCAGCGCCGAGGGCCTTCTGGCGGTTCCCTCATTGCGAGAAGCAAAGCTACAGGGAACCAGGCAGAGGGCCTTTTCGGTAGTGGCACCCGCCCTGTGGAACGCCCTCCCATCAGATGTCAAAACGATAAACAACTACCTGACATTCAGAAGACATCTTAAGGCAGCCCTGTTCAGGGAAGTTTTTAATGTATGATATTTTAGTGTTTTTTTGGTTTCTATGGAAGCCGCCCAGAGTGGCTGGGGAAACCCAGCCAGATGGGCGGGGTACAAATAATAAATTATTATTATTATTATTATTATTATTATTATTATTATTATTATTTTGAGGAAACGAAGATGCAATGTCACCAAATGATAGTAATGCATCAGCAACCTTTCATAATCCTTAGTCATCGTTAATATAGCAGCATGAACTTGGAATACAGCCTTTTCAAATCAATTGTTTCCTCAAAGGAAAGGCAGCTGCTCTCTGTCTATGAAAAGACTCTCTCTTTCTCTGGTTCATCGTTCCTTTGGACATTTCCCATTCTCTGCATCATAATCCTCCATCCACCCCAGTTTCCACCTCTAGATCTTTATGAATCACCTGCACAATCCCATTGGCCTCAGGAGGTCCATATAAACCATTTTGTGAGACTCAGGTCTTCGTCTTTTCCAGGGACTGTGGTCTGGGTCAGTCAGGGAACTAGTGACAAGGCTTGGTGCTTGGCGTCACCTGAATGGGTGCTCAGGGAAGCTCCTGTTCTTGGAGATGGACCTCTGTCTACATGCCTTGCATTGCATGGAGAGAGCAGGAGAAGCAGAAGGAAAGCAGGTGGCGCATGGGAATCCCAGATGGAAACACCCACCCCCATTGCTCCTTATTATAATGATGTGCTGCCTCATCTTGTGCCCGGCTCCTGACACAAGACTATCCTAATCTGACACTGAAAAAGCTGAATATTAAAGGCAAATGGATAACTGTACTTAGCGGGAACTTCATCCTTGAATATGTGGTATTGATTCATTAACAACCTGAAGTTGTGTTATTTCTTGAGATATGAATTTATTCCTGATCTATCTTAAATATCATAGTTATATGTGGGACTTCCGGAGGTGGCGCCAACGGTAATGGCGGTCTCCTCCTGATCGGGAGGGAGAAGCTCCATGGAATTTGGGGTCTTACCGCTACAGCGCAGCGGGGACCCATAAAAAAACAGCAGGCGGGGGAAGCCTGCGGCCGTGGGACTCAGCGGGTGCCAGAAGCGACCCCCCCAATAGCAAAGGAACCCCGAGAGGGGCTCCGGAGCGGAACGGGGGTGTTGTGGGGCTGAGAGTCGATCGCTACTTCCGTGGAGTGAAGCCGCACAACTGTTGCTGGAGAGCGCTGACCTTTTTTCCTCTGACAATTCAGCTGTCAAAACAACAACCCGTGAGTAGATCAAGTATTAAGATCGGGAATTTAAAGAAAATTAATCTGAATGGGAACCGAAGCGGGGAGGTGCAAAGAGAAAGTCCACCTTCCGTTCTGTAAAAAGATCAAAGCAAAGAACGTCCAAGCCGGTTACCGGGTGAGGAGCGCTAGGAAGAAAGACTGATTAGACATCAAGCTAAAGGAACCCCTTCCCTGAACTGAGAGGGAGGGAGGAGAGAAGGGACAGTGCCTTTGGTGCCAACTTTTAATATAAGAGAGAAAGGAGAGACACAAGACCACCTCTCAATCCCTGGGAACAGACTGCCTAGACTGAAATAATCTGGCTACATTGAATACAGCACTCTTTATTAACAATGTAATAATGGATGGTTAACACTCTGCAAATAGACATTCTGAAACTGTTAAAATTGTTACTTCTCCTGCTGAAGGGGGCATTTGGAAACTTAGCCATTTTGTTGCAACATTATTGACTGTTACTGTGTCCCCCTAGAGGCTTACTGAAAAAGTAACATTGGCTGGGGAATTTTCCACTCTGAGCCTGAGAAGGTCTCACAGTAAAGCTGTGGGAGTGACCTTGACTGTCAGATAAAGTGCCATGGATGAAAAGCCAACAAAACCGGAGGACAAAACAACGAGATCAGGCAGAGTTAGATACCAACAGCCTAGTACAACACAGCATCAACACAGGGCATCTGCCTCAGGCCCCCCTGTACCACAAGGGGAAGGGATGTCAGAAGAAGGTTTCACCTCTATTTTGAGTAAGATTTATGAGACTTTGGATAAACTGAGCAAACAAGTGGCTGAGGCCACAAACAAAATTGATCAAAATACTACAAGCATTAATGATTTGAGCCAGAAAGTGAATGTAAATACAGGTTCTATCAAAAAATTATCGCAACAGTTAGAATCAAACCAAAAGACGGCTCAGGAAGCTAAAGAAAAAGTAGAGGCCGTAGAAGGAAAGATAATACCGATAAGCATACAGTTGGGGGACCACCAGGTACATCTTGGGGTCCACCAGGAACTCCTGTTTATGATTGAATTGAGAGAAAAACAGACCAACTTGAAGGTCAGAGCGGTGCCTGAACTTGAGAAAGATAGCTTGTGTGACTTCCTGACACAGGAATTTGCGGACTTTTGGAAATTGGATGACAAGCAAGATTTTAAAATAACAAAGGCTTTCAGACTTGGAAGAGGAGGGAGGAAGGGCAGGGTGAGAGACTGTCTGATTACCCTTCGATCTAAAGAGGAGCGAGACAAAATACTAAGCCTACACTACCAGAACACTTTGATAATACAGGAGTCAAAAGTGGAAATCTTCAAGGACATTCCGAAACATCTTTTGGACCTCAGGACTAACTATGGAGACCTGGTGACTTTACTGAGAGGAAACAGAATCATCTTCAGGTGGGAATTCCCTCAAGGCCTATCTTTCAGCTTTAAAGGTAAGAAGTTTAAAATAAGATCATTGGAGGAGAAGGAAAAATTTTTGAGAGACCACGAAGAAGATCTGCAAAAAGGTGTAGAAGGACTGCCGGCAGCCTTACCACCAGAATTATTAGACATAGTATCACTACCTTTGGGAGTGGACAAGACAAAGAAAGTGATACCACCGCCAGAAGAAGACGAACTATTGGGAGCTGTCGGAGGACAGGAAACCTAGATACATCATGTCTCTACAACTACTAAGCTGGAACATTCACGGATTTAATTCCCCGGAGAAAAGGAAAAAAGTCTTTCACATACTTAAGAAGGAACAATTGGATCTAATTTGTCTACAGGAAACACATGTGACAAGGCTGCATAGGAAAATATTGATTAACAAGAGACTGGGCCAAGAATTTATTTCATCGGACAAAGTAAAAAAGCGAGGAGTGGTCATTTATGCAAAAGAGAGCCTGTCACCGAAATTTGTTTTTAAAGACGAGCAAGGAAGATATATCACAATTGAAATTCAAACACAAGGAGAAAATTTTCTGATACTAGGTGTATATGCACCAAATGAGGGGAAATCTACATTTTATAAGAAGTTGCATGAGACCTTACTCGATTATATGGACTACAACATTGTCTTGATGGGAGATATGAACGGGGTGGTATCTACAAATATGGACAAGTCGCAGAGACAGGTAGTTACTAAAGATGGTAGACTACCAAAGACCTTTTTTGAATTGACTGACAATATGGACTTGATTGACATTTGGAGGACCAGGAATCCCCTGGGGAGAGAAGGAACCTTCTTTTCTGAAGCCCAAAAGACATGGACAAGAATTGACCAAATCTGGATAACTAGAGGACTGGCACCCAAGATTAGGAAGGTAGAGATCTGCCCAAAGACGTGCTCCGACCACAATGCTGTGAAAATGGAGATGAGATTAACATTAACTGGTTCCTTCAGATGGAGGATGAATGACACCTTGTTTAGAGATCAAGAAGTGATTAAGAAGGCCCAAAAAACTTTGAGAGATTATTTTGAGATAAATTTGAATACCACTGTGGAAAAAAGAATAATTTGGGATGCAAGTAAAGCAGTTATGAGGGGATTTCTGATCCAACAGAACTCATTAAAGAAGAGAGCCCAGAATGTGAAAATAGAAATTTTTTGGATAAAATAAAAGAGGGCGAGAAAAGACTGAGATCGAAACCCAACTCACAAGAGATTTTGAGAGAAATAAAGTTATCCCAAGTGCAATATATGAAGATGATGAACCAGGAAATTGAGTGGAAAATTAAACAAATGAGGCAAAAGACTTTTGAATCAGCAAATAAATGTGGGAAACTGCTAGCTTGGCAGATGAAGAAAAGACAAAAACTCAATACTATTACCAACTTGGAAGTTGAGGGGGAAAATATTGAGAACCCAGTGGAAATCAGAAAATGTTTTCAGAGGTATTTCAAACAACTATATACACAAGGGCCTCAGAAAGACTTTGATATAGACCAGTTTTTGAAAGCAAACAGATTACAAAAAATCTCACAAGAAAACAAGACAATCTTGAACTATAAAATCACAGACCAGGAGGTGGAAGGTGCCATTCAGAATATGCAGTTGGGAAAATCTCCAGGGCCGGATGGCTTAACCTCAAAATATTATAGAACTTTGAAGGATTGGATAATCCAACCACTAAAGGAGGTTTGCAACGAAATTATGGAGGGGAAAAAGGCGCCAGAGTCGTGGAAAGAAGCATATATTACACTCATACCAAAAACAGTCTGAAAAGACACAACTTAAGAACTACCGACCCATATCCCTGTTAAATGTGGATTACAAAATTTTTGCTGATATTTTGGCAAGGAGGTTAAAAAAAGTATTAAAGGAAGTGATACACAAAGACCAAACTGGCTTTCTTCCGGGCAGACATTTGTCTGATAATACGAGGAATATAATTAATATTTTGGAAAAGCTGCAAGAGGACATTAACACTAAAGCAGTTTTAATTTTTGTGGATGCCGAGGAAGCCTTTGACAATATTTCTTGGAGTTTTATGAAGAAAAATCTTCAAGGGATGGGGGTCAGCCAAGGGTTTGAAAACGGTATAAGTGCAATTTATTCAGAACAAAAGGCAAAATTAATAGTTAACAATGTGGTGACAGAGGAATTTAAGATAGAGAAAGGGACACAACAAGGTTGCCAATTTCCCCATTACTCTTTATTTCCGTCCTGGAGGTTTTGTTAAATATGATAAGAAGAGACCACTTGATTAAAGGCATAACGGTCGGAGCCAAACAATACAAATTGAAAGCCTTTGCAGATGACTTGGTATTGACACTACAGGAGCCAGAATCTAGCACTAAAAGAGCAATAGAACTGATCCAGGAGTTTGGTCATGTGGACGGATTTAAGTTGAATAAGTCAAAAACCAAAGTTCTTGAGAAAAACTTAACAATGATGGAAAGAGAGAGGTTTCAGAATGAGATAGGTTTAACAGTGGTCAAGAAGGTGAAATATTTGGGGATCAATATGACAGCTAAAAATGGGAACCTATTTAAGGATAACTATGAAAAATGTTGGTCAGATGTTAAAAAGGATTTAGAAATATGGTCAAATTTGAAGCTTTCCTTGTTGGGCCGAATTGCTGTTATTAAGATGAATGTATTGCCAAGAATGCTCTTTTTGTTCCAATCGTTACAAATTTTGGGTAAAATGGACTGTTTCAAGAAGTGGCAGAGAGACATCTCTAAATTTGTCTGGCAGGGCAAGAAACCCAGAATAAAATTTAAAATATTAACAGATGTAAAAGAGAGGGATTTGCCCTGCCAGACCTTAAACTCTATTATGAATCAGCAGCTTTCTGCTGGCTGAAGGACTGGCTGCTTCTTGAGAACACAGACATTTTGGATTTAGAAGGTTTCAATAAATGTTTTTGGGTGGCATGCATACTTGTGGTCTGACAAGGTTAAAGCACATAAGGCATTTAAGAACCATATTGTCAGGAAAGCATTGTTTAATGTCTGGACACGATACAAAGACTTACTTGAAAACAAAACCCCAAGGTGGTTGTCACCAATGGAGGCAAAAGCTCAAAAAAAACCCTCAATATGGAGGCCAAGTGGCCAAAATATTGGGAGATTTTAGAGCAAGAAGGAGACAAATTGAAATTGCAGAGTTTTGAGAAACTAAAAGATAGAGTGCGAGATTGGTTACATTATTTTCAAATAAGAGAGGTATACAATTTAGACCAAAAAATCGGCTTCCAGGTGGAAAAATCAAAGTTGGAAACAGAATTGTTAGACCCCAATACTAAGATACTATCAAGAATGTATAACTTGCTGTTAAAATGGAATACTCAGGATGAAACGGTTAAATCGGCTATGATTAAATGGGCACAGGACGTTGGTCATAACATTATGTTTGCTGACTGGGAACAGTTGTGGACCACGAGTATGAAATTCACGGCATGTAATGTCCTTAGAGAGAATATTATGAAAATGATTTATAGGTGGTACATGACACCAGTCAAGCTTGCAAAAATTTACCATTTGCCCGATAATAAATGTTGGAAGTGTAAAGAAACTGAGGGTACATTCTTTCACCTTTGGTGGACGTGCCCAAGGATTAAGGCTCTCTGGGAAATGATATATAATGAATTGAAAAAGGTATTTAAGTATACCTTCCTGAAGAAACCAGAGGCCTTTCTCCTGGGCATTGTCGGCCAATTGGTGTTAAAGAAGGATAGAACTTTCTTTATGTACGCAACAGCAGCAGCAAGATTACTCATCGCGAAATATTGGAAGACACAGGAGCTACCCACACTGGAAGACTGGCAGATGAAGGTCATGGACTACATGGAATTGGCAGAGATGACCGGCAGAATCCGTGACCAGGGAGAAGAGTCGGTGGAGAAAGATTGGAAGAAGTTTAAAGATTACCTGCAGAAGCACTGTAAAATTAAGGAATGTTGAAATGACGTCTGATTGAAAATAAGTGGTACTGGTAAAGAGATGCTTAAGAAAATGTAAATAGGGAATGATAATTGGAAATGGATATTTACAATAATAGGTTTATATATGGAGTAAGGATAAAATGCTAGAGGGTAAGGATTTGCTGAATTTAATATTTGAACTGGAATACAAAATGGGAGGTGTGAGGAGGTCAAGAAATTAGTGAAGAAAACATAAGATTTGAAAATATTAATTCATTTTTAGCTTTGTTTTGTGGCTTTTTCTCTTCTTACTCTTCATCTTTTACTTTTTTCTTTCTTTCTACCTTTCTTTTATCAACTGTTTTTCTACTGTGTATTTTTATTTGTCTTGTTTTTGTAGTTTAAATGTTTAAACGTTTAAATGTTGGATTTTGTTTTTATTGTTTGTGAAATATTAATAAATATCATTTTAAAAATAAATATCATAGTTATAGGATGTCTTGGGGTGTTAGGGGAGCGGTAGTACCTTTGGTGGGGGTAATTTATCCACCATTGGTCCCCACCCACCATTGGTCCCCACCCTGCACTCAGCTCTCACCTGTGGCTTCCAGAAGCTGTCAGCATGCAAAATGGGCCGCAATCCCAGGAACGGCTTCAACCGGCCTGCTAAACCAGGTGAGGATATCTGATGGGTCTCAAATCCTTGGTGGGTTGGGGAATTCTGCTGCCGGTGACGGCAGGCCCTGGTGGGTGAGAGGATGACAACAACAGTGAATCCCACAGTCAAGAAGGCAGATTCTGCCCATTCTGCAGAGGAAAGTGAAGGGCAGATGGGATCGTCAACCCGGGAAGGGAGACCATTGAGAAGGAAAACTTTGGTCCTAAACCTTCATTGCCTCTTGAGTTATCTTCAGGAGAAGTAAAAGCTGTGGAGGAAAACCTACACAAATCCAGAGTGGACTCTCTAAGACGGTTAGATGGTGTCCTGCACACCTCCTTCCAGCCACTCCTGCAGCCAAGCTGGTGCCTGACGTACTGCTCTGCTTTCCTTGGGACCATATAAGCCAGGCTGAGAAGGGGGTCTTGTTGTCTAGGCAGCCCTGAACCCCCAAACACACTGTCCAGCCAGTGCTGCTAACACAGCAGTTTCAGGGGGAGCGATGAACTCAGACCTGTGTATCAAAGTCTCTCCAATGTGGAATATGTAAAACAGAACTGCTGCTTATATCATACATCAATTAAAAAGTATTCAGAATATTTGTCTTTTGAAGAAAAGACCACCAAGTATCCGATGGCCCCTTCAAAGCTAATAAAAGTCTTGTGCCTGGAGCTTTTGGGTTGCAGGACCAGGAAAGCTTCTGCCACCATTATCCTTCCAATTGGGATTCAGGCCTCATCATGGGACTGAAATTGCCCTGGTTGCGCTGTTTCCTGGTTCTGATGGATCTCTCAGCGGCTTTGGAGACCTTGGACCATGGTATCCTTCTGGACCCTCTAGGGCAGCTGGGGGGCCTGCTATGCAGTCGTTCCCCTCCTTCCTCCTGAGCCATGTCCAGAAATTGGTGTTGGGGGATGAGTGTTCTTTCCCCTGGCTGCTCTCTTGTGGGAGCAACAGGGTTGCCGTAAACAATAATCCCACCCACAAACTCCCATTCACACAAAGATTGTAAATTGGGGGGGGCGTCACACACCTCACCTGTGCTAATACTGGCAGTCTTTGGCCTGTATAGGCACACCCTGTGAGTAGAGCCTCCAGCCACAGGGACTGTCTATCATGAAAATGGGTCCTTTGACTGGGAAGATTCATGCAATGGCTATCATTGGGTGCTGATGGCTTCTATCTCAGCTTGTCAGTCACTCTGAAACTGCCTATTGAGCCTACAAAAAGTAATCCTCAATGAACCAGGTAGTGGAAGAGACACTTTAAGATGGAAACCTGAGAGAGAGGAAAAGGTTACTGGCTGCTTCCTGGGTGGGACTGAGGAAACAAGGAGTCACTTCTGAGAAGCCCCCCCCCACTTTCTCTCGGGGGTTTTCCGGGTTTTCCAATCCTCTCCAGGCGGACTAATGGTTGGACTTGGCAGAACTGCTGTATCTGCCATTAATTTGATTTTGAATTGATACTAGAATGAATTGATTTTAGAATGCTTTTTAATTAATTGATTGTGATTTTATGTAAACTGTGTTACTTTTATTGTTGTTAGCCGCTCTGAGCCAGCTTCGGCTAGGAGGGTGGGATATAAATTATTATTATTATTATTATTATTATTATTATTATTATTATTATTATCATCAACATCATCATCATCTGGACAGATCAGGGGCTTATGGGGTGGGAATTGGGTGGAGCTTGTAGGAAGGAAGTTGTGCCTTGTTAACGGAGAAATCTGAGGGCCCCTCTGGACAAAAAACAAGGACACCAACCAGAAATACCAGATCAAAACAGCAGCCAGTAGGCTTGGTCTTTATTGAATACTGTCACGATAGGACTCCCACCTGCCACCAGGTGTACCAAGATGGAAGCCCCGAACAGAAGAGAACCCAAACTTTTATTAGATGCTAATCCCAATGTTACAGCCCCCCAAACTACATCACTAATACATCATGTTTACATCATGAAAGGGGAGGTCTGGTGGCAGTAATCTGAGCATCCTGGACCCTGCCCATGGTTCCCCTTGCCCTCCACCAAACACCCATCAAGTGTAACAAAAGAGATATTTACATTTCCCTGCTAGGAGCAGAAGTGCGTCAGTAAGCCAGAGCGGAACAGGCGGGGGGGGGGGGGGCAGTGCAAAACAACATGAGTAAACATACGGCCTGACTTACGCACACACACACACACACCCAACAAGAAAGGAAATGGCCGGCTGGATGGCGTCGTCAGGGGAGCCATGCCCCCCCCCCCCCCCGCTGCCACAAAAAACAAGAAGGCCACCCCCACGGCCTAGCTGGCCCCCTGCCCAGAAAGAAAAGCCATAAAATTATGGCTTAGCCTGGTGGGTGGGGCCATGCCCCTTCCAATCATGCCAGAATTTACCTTAATCCGGCCGCCAGGACACGCTCCTGAGGATCCTGATCCTGGAAGGAAGAAAACCAAAAGGGGGTTGGACAAAGGGGTCGGCCTCTTTTCTTTGCCTTTTGCCCCACCCCACCCCACCCCCCACCCCCCACGGCCAGCAATCCATTGTCCTCCCTGACCTGTTTCCCCAGCCAAGTTAATCACACCCTTTTGTCTTCTGGAATGGCTACCTGTCTGGCACTCAGGTATCAGGAGGCCAGGGATTATCACTCAGGCAGAGGGGCTGCTGAGTAGCTGAGCGCACATGTCTAGATGAATTTCTGAAGTTTCCCCAGTGGAGCCAGTACATAGAGACATTTATCAGTGAATTCCTACATTTGGTATTGTGCAGCAAAGGCCCTTTGAATAGATAGGAAGAAACTGTGATGATTGTGGGACAAATCAGAAAAGTCTCAAAAGTGATGGTGCTGATTTTGGTAGTGGGCTGCATGTGCATGATATCTGCTGGAGGTGCAACCCCCCCCAACCTATACATGAATTCGTGCAACAGTCTCGGCAGGGCAGGGGCTTATGGGTGGGAAGAGGATAGAGATTGCAGGAAGGAAGGGGTGGGGGGACACGACCCCCTACTTTCCAGGCATCCCTCTTTGGTCTCCTTGAAGGGGTGGCCGGTTCTTGGGTGGGAGGGAGAAGCCAAGGCGGCCCCTCCAGAGAATCCCTGCAGGCCCCACCACGGAGACGTCTCCCCAAAGTCTGGTCTTCCTAGCTCTCCCCCCCCCAATTGCTGCCCTTCCCTGCCCCAGGGATACGCCCCTCCCCACTTCCTCGACTCCCTCCCTCTGTCCCAGAGTCTCCCCTGCACCCAGAGGCCCCCCTTGGCGTGGCTCACCCCACGCCCTGCGCCCCCCGTCTCTCCGTTCGGAGGGGACCACTAAGACGAGCAGAGGAGGACAGGGGGGTCTCTATCCAAGCGTCCCTCACGCCCGTTAACCCTTTCATGGCCCACCTCTCTCCGCACGGAACCCACAGAGTCCCAGGGATGCCTGCGCGGGGAAATGGGGTGAGGGGGCTTCGTTGGGATCCCCTGGGTGGGCTTCCTATGGGTCCAAGGAAAACCCCTTCGCAGAACGCGTGCAGGGATCCAGATGCAATACAGGCGCTTTGGGGAGCTGGAGGGAGTCTCTGGATCCTTCTCCCGCCTCCCCCCGCGACCCCTTTACCTCTTTGTCCTCGCTCGCGATTCTCCTTTCCTTTCCTGCAACATCCACGTGGGTGGGGGGGATTTACCTGCCGCCCCTCCTTCCCTTTCCGAAAGCGCGCGCCCCTAGAGCTGCGGCGCAGAGCCCGAATCCGGCGCAGAAGCTCCACTTGAGGGAAGAAGCAGGCAATTTGGGAGGGGGCTCTTTCCCCCCCTCCCCACTCCCGGAACAGAAGTCGGATGGCGAGGAAGAGGAAGAGAGGAGGAGGTGCAACGTATGGGGGTGGGATTTGGGGTAGTGGGGGCGGGGTGAGAGAAGGATGTGCCGGGAGGGGAGGGGAGGAATGGGGGTGGGGAGAGGAAGGTTTTCCCCCTCCCTTCTTTCTTCTGGGGATCAAGAGAGCGGGGGAGGGGCTGATCCCGGCAATCCACTCGCAAAGTGGGGTCTCGCACCCCAAATGTTTACATTGCAAAATCCCTCCCTCCCCCACGCCACGAGATTAGATCCGTCCGTGTTTTAGGTACTGGTGCACGTTGAGCAGTGGCTTGGACTCTGTGACTCCTGTGTTACGGGGGGAAATGGGGTTTTGGCTTTTGCGCACACAGCCCGACACCCAGGTAAAATTCATGCAAGGAGTGAAGCAGCCCAGAACTAAAGCGCGTTGGAATTCGTACATCCTCAGATAGGTTTTTTCACCTCCTCCTTCCTTGCAGAGAAACATTTGGTCAGCTGGGGAGTCAAAATGATTTCAGGACTGTCTTCCTGTGCTGTTTTGGACATGTGGTTTATATATTTATGTACGTGTTTGATTGATACATTTATGAACATTTATTATATATCTAAGACCTTAAATTTTTATAACAGAACCCCCCCACAGGGAACAACAGGCTCCCAGCTCTGTATATGTCTATGTATTTTATTGTCTCTATCTCTTTTTGTGTGCTTTGCGTTGAGAATTGTGTTTCCAGCTCAGCCAAGGGAGCTGGGGCTGGAGGGCCAGCTGTGTGTGAGAGAGAGACTGAGTGTGGGAACCCCACCCCATGCAACAAGAGGCTCCCAGCTCTGGGTATGTCTATGTATTTTATTGGCTCTATCTTGGCCAAGGGGGGCTGATGCTGTGAGGAAACAGGAGATTTCTCACTTTGTGTTTTGCTTGAAGGCTCCTGCAAACTTGTCGGAAGGGCAACAAGTCCCCTTGGGTAACAACTTAAGCAGGCGCTCATAATGGGGGCAGGGTTCCCCACACTCACAGGAGGAATGGACTCCATTACAAGGCATGGTGAATAATTTAGGCAAATTCGACCGCAAATATGGTGGAGCGATGAACCCCAAACGACTGAGAACTCCCTGCGAGCAGCCCCCCCCCCCGGCTCATAGGACCTGGAGCAAAACCAACCAGGTCTTTAGAAGCATGACAAAACACCCTGGATGTTGGCGGAGCAGTTTGCATACGCAGACTCCTGGGTAGCGGTCCTGAGAGAGAGCCCTACGTGGCTACAGAAATTGAAAGGAGACTATTGTACCTCTCTGATGATGCAGTGGGCACTGAAGGAGACAAAAGTAATCAAACCCCAAAAGAAAGAACACTTTTCCAGAGGAGGGGTGAAAAAGAAATAATCAGTGTGGTCCCCAACGATTCCCACTATTACGGAATGGGGGTCATATAAACAGAATTTTACTCCCAAGTAAACCACGTAGGACCCGAGGCGATGACCTCAAGGGAACCCCGCTATACAAGGGCTCCCCTCGTCCTGTCACAACGTTGCACCAAGCACCACACAACACCCGAAGAATAAAGCTCCATTTCTGACCGCATATCCCGGTGCTATATACAGGCAGGCAGTATGAATGAACGATGTATTTTTTGAATAAACAATTTTATTTACATGAGGATGCATCCTGACCAATCAAATCGCGACAAATCTAGTCCGTCAGCCAATCCCAGCAATGGTATGGCTCTGCAGGAGCTGCTCAGCGCAGCTCCAGCTGAGAGAACAATGGGCTAAGTTCATCGAAACCTCGTTACCTTGTAATCCACTCATAAAACTGGATCTGATGTAGTGAGGCCAATTCAAGTCATTTCCGAACCCACTGTCTGTATTGTGAATAGCCAAAAACGCTTAGAATTCATAGGAAATCACTGGTTTCAATGATTCTCTTCATTCCACCGCCAATTTGCGTCATGGCCCAAGGGCTTGGAAACCACTCAGTCCCCGCCATAATCCTTAAGCGGGAGGCCACGTACTCACAGGAAGGTACTCATTTGTGTCAATCGCTGGGCAAAAGCTCTCCTCCGGACTTGCCCAGGTGCCAGACTATGCAAACCAAAGTTCTATTGTTCTTTTGCAGTAGGTGCTTAGAATGTACTTCCAATACATATCCTGTATTTGCCTGTTCCCTGAGACATTCCTCCTATGTGAATCATGTATAACCCTCCCTTGTCTGATGTAGTGATGATGTAGCAATAATGTAGTGATGATGCTCCACGAACTGCATGCTGGGATAAGATAGAAACTTTTAAAAGTCTTTGTCACCCCATCCTCGGGGTTCAATTCCTCTTTGGACCTGTTGCGTAATAAACTTTGGTCTACAGCTATTTGCTCTGGTTGGTGGCTGGACTCCTTCCTTTATTCCGCAGGGACCCACGGGCTCTGCCCAACCAAGCTGGGTGGCTGAGGAGCCTCACACCTGGGTCCCCCCTCCCCCGTAACACCAAATTAGCCCTTTATTGGCCAGACCTAGGAGTTTTGATAGCCTTTGGGGGCATACAAGATCCGGACTCTGAGCCTTCTTCCCTTGGGGGTCCTCCAGCTGCTGCTCCCCCCCTTTCACCCAGCCAGCCATGATAGCAAAGCAGCAACAACAGTAAATTCAGTACGATAATAATATCACACTGGTCCTCTGGCAGGAAGAATAATAACTTCTGGACTCATAGAAAAGTACTATCTTCCCCAAACCCCAGAATAAGAAGGAGCTCTGGGGGTTGCCCCATGGGGTTCATGAGTGAAGATGGGACCCCATCAGGAACTTCCTGGTACCTGAAGCACTCCCTTCCCTCTCTGCAATAAGGCTTGGGGGGAAATCTCCCATTAAATGACAGTATTTTAAGTTTTTTCTTCTGAATGTGTAGGAGACAGGGAGAGGTTCTAGTGAAGAAGCAGTGTTTGGAGATCATGCGGTGGTGGGGGTGAGAGAGTTTGGTGCAAAAACCAGTCACACACAGATGCCACCCGTCTTGCCATGCTTGAGTAGAGCAACTCCCAGGCATGAGCCTAAGTAGCAGCAGGGTAAGGGGCCAGGTGGGTAAGAGGCAATTCCCGATGCTTAGGTCAAAAAACGCACACAGAGGCAGCAGGACTTCTTCAGTAATAGTTTTACTGATCTTTCAAAGCATACAGTTCTCACTGGGTCCCCAGTGAGGCTCAAAACTTAGCTCCTGAGAACAAATCCAGTTTCAGCAGTAGAAAAATACAGCACACAGGATATCTAACTCAAGCACACAAACCGCAGAAGGGAGCAAGGGAGGAAAGAGGCAGGAAGGACACAGGGCAAAGGATGTGTGTCTTTCGCTTCCTGTCGTCTTGGAGGGAAGTCAGCAACTTTGCATCTGCAGGGGCTTCACGAAGAAAAGCTTTCTGCCGGCTGCTTCCAGGCAAATGGGCATCCCAGAAACACACACTGTGATCTGTGGTGTGTTGCCATATCAATTGTTTTGAAAAGGTTATCACAATGTGGTCTAGAAACCAGTATGGGACAATATATCGCCCAGCCCTCACTGACCACCAAGAAATCCAGATAAACCCCTCACCCTTTCTCTACCGAAAGGTACTTTACATCTTAGATCATAATCACATTGTTTGACATTGCCTTCAATATTTCATTACTATAGAGTTTACCACATAAATACCAGAACTTCACATACACAACATGTGTTAAAGACTGATTTCCTGCTGAGTTCAGTTCTGTGAAGAAATGAGTGGACATTGAAAGGAACACGTCCCGCACTCCATACATATAAATGGGTTCTTCCTTGTGAGAGTCCCTGGATGTTCCTTAAACACTCCATTGTAAATAAAGCACTTTTTGCCATCTTTTCATTTAAACTGCTTCTCCTCTTTGGGTTTATTGATGGTTTGTAGGGTTTCAACTCCTAAAGTTCTTCCTGTTCATGAGTCTGTTGATATAGGACTTCCACTAGGACTGAACCTCTATCTACTTTCCTGATAGTTATAAGGTTTGTGTTTTGTGTGAGTTTGTTCACATAAATCAGGGGTTCCACTCTGACTGCAGCTCCTTCCACAGTCCATACTTTTAAACAGTTTGCCCCCCGTGTGTCTGCTGATGTTTTCTAAGATTTCGATTCTGACTGAAGCTCTTTCCACACTCCATGCATTTAAATGGTTTCTCCCCTGTGTGACTCAGTTGATGTGTTCTAAGGTTTGCATTGAAATTGAAGCTCTTTCCGCACTCCATACATTTAAATGGTTTCTCCCGTGTGAGTCCGTTGATGCATATTGAGGTGTCCACTCTTACTGAAGCTCTTTCCACACTCCATACATTTATATGGTTTCTCCCCTGTGTGAATCCGCTGGTGTAATTTAAGGTCTCCATTCTGACTGAAGCACTTTCCGCATTCCATACATTCAAATGGTTTCTCCCCTGTGTGAGTCCGTTGATGTGTTCTAAGGTTTCCATTATTACTAAAAGCTCTTTCCGCACTCCCATACATTTTAAATGGCTTTTCTCCTGTGTGAGTCCGTTGATGTATATTGAGGTGTCCACTCTGGCTGAAGCTCTTTCCGCACTCCATACATTTATATGGTTTCTCCCCTGTGTGAGTCCGTTGATGTTTTCTAAGGGATCCGTGATCACTAAAGCTTTTTTCGCAATCCATGCATTTAAATGGTTTCTCCCCTGTGTGAGTCCGTTGATGTCTTCTAAGTTTTCCATTATCACTAAAGCTCTTTCCGCATTCCATACATTTATATGGTTTCTCCCCTGTGTGAGTCCGTTGATGTTTTCTAAGGGATCCATTATCACTATATCTCTTTCCACACTCCATACATTTATATGGTTTTTCACCCGTGTGAGTCCGTTGATGTATATTGAGGTGTTCAACTCTGACTGAAACTCTTTTCCACACTCCATACATTTATATGGTTTCTCTCCTGTGTGAGTCTGTTGATGTCTTCGGAGGGTTGCAATTGGAAACTGAAGCTTTTTCCGCACTCCATACATTTAAATGGTTTCTCCCCTGTGTGAGTCCGTTGATGTAATTTCAGGTCTCCATTCTGACTGAAAGCTCTTTCCACACTCCGTACATTTAATTGTTTTCTCTCCTGTTTGTGTCCGTTGATGCATATTGAGGTGTCCACTCTGACTGAAACTTTTCCTACACTCCATAACTTTTAAGTGGTTTCTCCCCTGTTGGAGGTCGTTGATGTGAACTATGTGTGCTCATTCAATTATGCATATTGCAGATTTCACACATTTTAATTTCTATTCCTAATGAAACGAAAGGTGCCCCATTCACTGGAGTTCTGACTGTCTTCTCCATCTCCTTCTTCAGAGTGGGAGGAAAGGAATCCTGTTTGGGTTTAAAGGAAGAGAACTAAGGGAAAGAGAACACATCAAGCTCCATTAGCACCTTCTCCTATTTCAACGTCTCCTACATTGCCTCACATCCTACCCATGTTCCCAATTTTTAGGAGCAGAAGTTGGAATGTCAAATGATAGTAATTCATGAGCAACTTTCAAAATCCTCAATCAATGTTAATAAAGCAGCTTGATTTTTTAAAGGATGATTTGCTGTCTGATCTCGTGCCTGTCTTCTGACGCAGGACTATCCTAAAATGACACTGAAAAGCAGGATATTCAAGGCAAATAGATAAACTGTACTTAGTGGAATGTGTAGTACCTTGAAAATGTTGTATTGATTCACTAATGGCCTGAAGTTGTGTTATTTCTGGGGACATGAATTTGTTCCTGTTCTGTCTTAAAATCATAATCATACGATGTCATGGGGTGTTAGGCGAGCGGTAGTACAAAGTCATGCACCTTATGGGGTAATTTATCCACCATTGGTCCCCACCCTGCACTCAGCTCTCACCTGTGGCTTCCAGAAGCTGTCAGCATGCAAAAGAGGCCATAATCCCAGGAACGGCTTCAACCAGCCGGCTAAACCAGGTGAGGATACCTGTTGGGTCTCAAATTCTTGGTGAGTTGGGGAATTCTGCTGCAGGTGAAGGCAGGCCCTGGTGGATGGAGAGGATGGAACAACATGAATTCCACAGTCAAGAAGGCAGATTCTGCCCATTCTGCAGAGGAAAGTGAGGGCAGATGGGGCTCGTCAACCAAGGAAGGGAGCCCATTGAGAAGGAAAACTCTGGACGTAATACTTTGGTGCACTCCCTCACTGCCTCTTGAGTTATCTTCAGGAGAAGAAAATGCTATGGAGGAAAACCTACAGAAATCCAGAGTGGAGTCTCTAAGACGGTTGGATGGTGCCCTGCACACCTCCTTCCAGCCACTCCTGCAGCCAAGCTGGTGCCTAACGTACTCCTCGCTTTCCTTGGGACCATATATGCCAGGCTGAGAAGGGGGTCTTGTTGTCTAGGCAGCCCTGAACCCCCAAACACACTGCCCAGGCAGTGCTGCTAACACAGCAGTTTCAGGCAGAGGATGAGCTCAGACCTGTGTATCAAAATCTCTCCAATGTGGAATATGTAAAAAGAGGTGCTGTTATATCATATACATCAATTAAAAAGTATTCAGAATATTTGTCTTTTGAAGAAAAGACCACCAAGTATCCGATGGCCCCTTCAAAGCTAATAAAAGTCTTGTGCCTGGAGCTTTGGGGTTGCAGGACCAGGAAAGCTTCTGCCACCATTATCCTTCCAATTGGGATTCAGGCCTCATCATGGACTGAAATTGCCCTGGTTGCGCTGTTTCCTGGTTCTGCTGGATCTCTCAGCGGCTTTGGAGACCTTTGACCATGGTATCCTTCTGGACTCTCTAAGGGAGCTGGGGCCCTGCTCTGCAGTGGTTCCCCTCCTTCCTCCTAGGCCATGTCCAGAATGTGGTGTTGGGGGATGAAGGTTCAGACCCCTGGCTGCTCCCTTGTAGGAGCAACAGGGTTGCCATAAACGATAATCCCACCCACAAACTCTCATTCACACAAAGTCTGTAAATTTGGGGGGGGGTCACACACCTCACCTGTGCTAATACTGGCAGTCTTTGGCCTGTATAGGCATACCCTGTGTGTAGAGCCTCCAGCCACAGGGACTGTCTATCATGAAAATGGGTCCTTTGACTGGGCAGATTCATGCAATGGCTATCATTGGATGCTGATGGGTTATATCACAGCTTGTCAGTCACTCTGACACTGCCTTCAAAGAATAAGAGGAACAGAAATGCTTTTGAGGTGCAACTTATATCAATCCTGAGAGCCATTCCATTGACTCTGCATCCCTGTTTCTGATGACAGGTGTACATTATCCTCAGCCTCAATGAACCAGGCAGTGGAAAAGACACTTAAAGATGGAAGCCTGAGAGAGAAGAAAAGGTTTCTGGCTGCTTCCTGGGTGGGATTGAGGAAAGAAAGAGCCACTTCCAAGAAGCCCCCCCCCCTGCCCACTTTCTCTCGGGATTTTCCTGTCCTCTCCAGGGAGACCAATGGTTGGACTTGGCAAAACCGCTGTATCTACCATTAATTTGATTTTGAATTGATATTAGAACAAATTGATTTTAGAATGCCTTTTAATTAACTGATTGTGATTTTTAGCTAAACTGTGTTACTTTTATTGTTTTTAGCTACTCTGAGCCCAGCTTCGGCTGGGGAGGACGGGATATAAATTATTATTATTATTATTATGGACAGGTCAGGGGCTTATGGGGTGGGAATTGGGTGGAGCTTGCAGGAAGGAAGGTGTGTCTTGTTAACGGAGAAATCTGAGGGATCCCCTGGACAAAAAACAAGGACACCAGCCAGGAATCCAAGAGCAAAACAGCAGCCAGTAGGCTTGGTCTTTATTGAAGACTGTCGTGACAGGACTCCCACCTGCCACCAGTGAAACAAGATGGAAGCCCCGAACAAAAGAGAACCCAATCTTTTATTAGCTGCTAATGCCAATGTTACACCCCCCCAAACTACATCATGCTTACATCATGAAAGGGGAGGTCTGGTGGCAGTAATCTGAGCATCCTGGACCCTGCCCCATAGTTCTCCTTGCCCTCCACCAAACACCCATCAAGTGTAACAAAAGAGATATTTACATTTCCCTGCTAGAGCAGAAGTGCGAGAATGGGGGGGATGGGGGGAGTGCAAAAAAAATTACCACCATGCGGCCTGACTTACAGCCCCCCCAACAAGAAAGGAAATGGCAGAAATGTGGCCTGTTGTTTAAAGCGGCGTCAGCAGAATTAAAAGCTGCCGTGTGGCCTACGTCTGGGTCGCACACCACCATTCATGGCCAGTGGAGCCCACGGCCATGCTCCCCCACGCCTGCAAAAAGGAAACAGCTGAAATGTGGCCTACAGCTGGAGGGTGGCGAATGGCGGCCTCGAGGGATCCATCCCCCCCCCGCCGCTACAAAAACAAGAAGGCCACCCTCCGCGGTCTAGCTGGGTGCCTGCCCAGAAAGAAAATTGCACCCTAGCTTGGCGGAGGGGCCATGCCCCTTCCAATCAGGCCAGATGTTACCTTAATCCGGCTGCCAGTACACGCTCTTGATGACCCTGATCCCTGAAGGAAGAAAACCAAAAGAGGCTTGGACAAAGGGGTCGCCTCTTTTCTTTGGCCTTTGATCCGCCCCAGCCAGCCAGCCATTGTCCTCCCTGACCTGTTTCCAAGGCAAGTTAATCCCACCCTTTTGTCTTCATCTGGTTTGTTCTTTCTGGAATGGCTACCTGTCTGGCACTCAGGTATCAGGAGCCAGGGATTATCACTCAGGCAGAGGGGCTGCTGAGGAGCTGAGCTCACATGTCTATAGGAATTTCTGAAGTTCTCCCTGTGAGCCAGTACATAGAGACATTTATCAGTGAATTCCTACATTTGGTATTGTGCAGCAAAGGCCCTTTGAATAGATAGGAAGAAACTGTGATCAAGTGCTTTGTGGGGACAAATCACAAAAGTGATGGTGCAGATTTGGGTAGTGGGCTGCATGTGCATGATATCTGCTGAAGGTGCAACCCCCCCAACTTATACATAAATTCCTGCAACAGTCTGGACAGGGCAGGGGCTTATGGGGGGGAGTAGGATAGAGGTTGCAGGAAGCAGGGGGTGGGGGACACAACCCCCCACTTTCCAGGGATCCCTCTCTGGTAGCGCTTGAAGGGGTGGCCGATTCCTGGGTGGGAGGAGAAGCCAAGGTGGTCTCTCCAGAGAATCCCCGTGAGCGCCAAGATGGAGACGTGTCCCAAAGACTGGCCCTACCTAGCTCCCCCCCTCGCTGCCCCAGGGATGCTCCCCCTCCCCACTTCCTCGACTCCCTCCCTCTGTCCCAGAGTCTCCCCTGAACCCAAAGTCCCCCTTGGTGTGGCTCACCCGTCGCCCCCCCCATCTCTCCATCCGGAGGGCCCCCCAAGACGAGCAGGGGAGGACAGGGGGTCTCTATCCAAGCGTCCCTCACGCCCGTTAACCCTTTCATGGCCCACCTCTTTCCGCGCGGAACCCACAGCGCCCCAGGGATGCCTGCGCGGGGAAATGGGGCGAGGGGGCTTCGTTGGGATCCCCTGGGTGGGCTTCCTAAGGGCCCAAGGAAAACCCCCTTCGCAGCACGCGTGCAGGGATCCAGATGCACGATAGGCGCTTTGGGAGCTGGAGGGGGTCTCTGGATCCTTCTCTCGCCTCCCCCCGCGACCCCTTTACCTCTTTGTCCTCGCTCCGATTCTCCTTTCCTTT